AGTGGGTCTACTTCACCTCCTACTTGGGTCTTGCTGCTATTATTGTTACTGTTGTTGTTGTTGGTGGTGTGTGTTGTCAAGTTACAAATGACTCATAGCTGATCTTCCAACAGGCTTTCAGAGGCTGTAAATTGCATGGGAGAAGATTATCCATCCTTCCCCATGGTGCAGCCGGTGGATTCGAACCACATGTCTTTGGGTTGGCAACACAACTCCTTATCACCAGAGCTCCCTTAGGTCTTGCCTTAAGGGAGGACATTTCAGAGATAAGTGGAAAGCTTATTTATCTCACCCTTATATAGGAGGGTGTAAGATACTATGAGCATGTTGTCAGAAGGGGCCAGTCCTTGGAAAAAGACATCTTGCTCGGAAAATAGGTCAGTGAAAAAGAGGAAGACCTTTAATGAGATAGATGGACACTGACTATAATTGTCTCTCATTTGCTTTTTTTGTAAAATGTTTGTCTGTTAGATACTGTTCTAAAGCTAAGCATACAAACTAAGACAGACTAGGAAGAAGTGGATTGACCATCCACTTTGAAAATGTAACAGGCCTTCGAAAACACTATGTACAATAGAGTACAAAAATTATTCCCATTCTAAAAAACGGTGACCAGAGTATGGAAATTATCAAACAATATCACTAATATCACATGCAAGCAAAGTCCTGCTGAAGATTATCCAAAAAATGATTGGAACAGTACACCAGAGAACTACCAGAAATACAAGCTGGGATTCGAAGAGGTTGTGGCACTGGAGACATTATCACCAATGTCAGATGTATCTTAGCAGAAAGCAGAAAGTACTAGAGGAATGTCTATCTTTGTTTCATTGACTATGCAAAGGCATTTGACTGTGTGGATCATAACAAATTGTGGCTAACCTTGAAGAGAATGGGAATCCCAGAACACTTGATTGTGCTCATGCAAAACCTATACTCGGACCAGGAAGCAGTCTTCAGAACAGAACAAGGAAATACTGCATGATTCAAAATCAGGAAATTAGTGTGTCATGGATGCATCCTATCTCCATACCTTTTCAATCTATATGCAGAACAGATCATTCAGGAGGCTGGGCTTTATGAGGAGGAATGTGAAATCAGGATTGGAGGAAGACTCTTCAATAACCTATGTTATGCAGATGACACTACTTTGCTTGCTGAAAGTGAGCAGGACATGAAGCACTTGCTGCAGAATGTCAAGGACTATAGTCTTCAATATGAATTGAAGCTCAACATCAAGAAAACAAAGTCTCTCACCACTGGGCCAATCAATTCACAGCACCATGATAGAGAAGAGATTGTTAACAATTACAGCTTGCTCAGCTCCACAATCAACACTCTTGACACCAGCAGTCAGGAAATCAAAAGATAAATTCCACTGGAAAAATTTGCTGTCAGAGACCTCTCCAGAGTGCTGAGAAGCAACGATGTCCATCTAGAAACTAAGGTGCCCCTGATACAGGCCATAGTCTTTATAATTACTTGCTGTGTATCAGAGAGTTGGACAGTAACTAAGAATGACAGAAGAAGAATTGATGCTTTGAGTTGTGGTGCTGGAGAAGAGTCTTGAACATACCATGGACTGCCAAAAAAAAAAAACACCACTAGATCTGTCCTGAAGAAACAATAGATCTGTTGTGAAGAGGGTGAGACCAAGTTTCTCCTTGGAGGCTAGAATTTGAAGCTCCGTCTCCAGTCCTTGAAGAAGGGTATCGTGCTCAGAAGTGTGGAAGGACAGCACAGGAGAGGAAGACTCCAGATGAGATGAATTGATACAGTAACTGGGACAATGGGGAGTCAGTGAGACTGGTTCAAGACAGGGCAGGCTTCAAAGCTATTTACATAAAGTCCCTGTGAGTCACAGACCACTCTCAGGCACATAACAACATAAACAAGGGGCTTGAGAATGGGGAAGGATAGAGCAAGGTTTCCATCAAAATAATACTAAATTTCATTTGAAACAAAGAAAAGCTTGTAAAAATCTTGGGAAAAATCTGAAAAAAATAAACTAGTAGGGACAAGAAGAGACTTAGTTCTACTAGCTTTTAAAATACATTCTAAGAATAAAGCAATTACCAAATAATGGAATAGAACAAATGCATTTTATTTATAAATAAATGAACGGAACAGAAGAGGGAGGCTAGAAATAAAACCAAATGCATATGGGAATTTGATACATACGTGAGAAAGGTTTCATTTCACAAAAGGAACAGATACATTATTTAGGAACTAATGGTGGGACAACAGACTGGACATTTAGAAAAAGAGAAAGAGTAAAAAAAAAAATATCTTCCTCATTCATTATACCAGAATAAATTGCCAATGAATAAACTATCTAGATACAAAGCTACAATGCACAAGAACAAAAGAAATGAGTGAACTTTTTATCATTCTGAACTAGAGAAGATCTTTCGAAACAGAACATAAATCCCTGAAGCCACAGGAAAAGGTTTGACAGTTGTTGAAATACATGTAAAACTTCTGTGTGGCAGGAATCACACATGTACAAAGACAAATGCCAACTTGGAAAGAAAATTTTCAACACACAGGACTGCCCTTCGGCAGTTCTTTTTCTGAACAAAGAGCTATACTCAAACCAATACCAAAAAAACCACAAAAGTTAGTTCACAAATAAATACAAGGAATCAAGCAATGTAGGAAGTATGTTCAACTGCATCATATAATTGAGGAGAAGTAAATGAAAACTGGTCTCCAGACCTCCCCAGGCACACCTCTCAAGGAAGTAGAGCCCCAGTTTCCATTTGGTCAATGACGGCATTCCCCCCGCAGGATCCCTGAAAACACCCTGCTTGGCTCTGTATTTGGCCCCGGGTTGGAGAGATGCATCCTGCAGGCCCGGCAGGCTCTGTAATTAGAAAACCTCGTGGTTATCCCTGCCGTGTAAACACCCTCTGGAACTGGCCTTGAGGTTGTTTTTTGGAATCCTCTTCTTCTGACCTTTCCTCTGGGCCTCTCTGTGTTTGGAGCAGTTGAAAGTTTATACTGGGAGGTTTCAGAGGCTCCACAGCACGGTTTCCGGGTTTTCTCCTTGGTGCTATTCTTAGCATCACTTATCCTTGAGAGGAGAAGCCCTGGGCCCTTCCAACAAATGAGTGGTGCTCCTCCCTTTGCCCTCCTGGCTGCCAGCCACAGCCCAGCGTGAGCCAGCAGCAGACACCAGCTCTTCCCTGCCTGGCCACTGTCTCTACCCTAATGGCAGGGTCCACCTTGCCCAGCCAGAGGGGCTGCCATGCCCCTAAGCAGAGGGCTCTGGCCCCTCATGTCCATAGCTTCAAGGAAGACTCTCGTAGCCTGGAGATACTTGCTGGCCACATCTGATGGATGCAAAGAATTTTACTCGGGTAGAATCTGATTCTGAAGATATTATCTGAAAAGGACAAATTTCCATTGATGCTGAGACCTGTCGGGTGCTGTTAGCCTTATAGTTGCAGTTCAGTTCAGCAAATGTGATGATGGGAGGTTCTGCTTTCTGAATACTTACAAGATGCCAAGGAATGCACCTTCCCAGGGTCTGCTGTTCTTAACCCCTGTGTCATGACAGGTGCACAATGGGGTTGGACCATTCTGCTTTGTAGGCCTTTCAATGGCTGGTTTTTCAGAAGCACATGGTCAAAGCTTTGTTCCTAGTTAACCTTTGTCTGGGAGCTCCACTGAGTCCTTTTCAGCATCAGAGCAGCAGCAGGCCCTCCACTGACAGACAAGCTGTGGAAGGTCGCAGATGTTCATGATCGGTATCAGTAGGAATCAAACCCACGTCTTCCATATTTTACCACTGAGTTTCTCTTGCCCCCATATGTATTTTAACATAATCCAAAGACTCTATGAGGTTAAATCTTTCTATAAAGGAGGACACTGAGGCCCAGAAAGACTGGGACACTTTCTCTGAATCACATGTCCAGGACTGGCCTCTAAAATCCATGCTCAGGAAGAGATTATGGCTCTCATGGGATAATGGAAGACCCCAAGCCCAGAGTTGGACATGCAGCAGGCATCCAGGGAAAGGGCGGCCTTGAATGATGTGCAGGTAGAAGGGAGGCCTTCCTTCCAGCACTGGAGAAGAGGTTGTTGTGTGCGGTCAAGTCAGAACCAACTCACAGCTGACTCTCCAGGGGGTTTTCAGAGGCCAGAAATCACACAGGAAGAGAGAGATTGCCCATCTTTCTCTTGCAAAGCAGCTGGTGCACCAAAGGATGATGTAAAATTTAATTTCTTTGGTTTCTGTTGCCCTTGACCTCTTGGTCAGTCCTCTTCAGCCTAGGTCTTCTTTACAGCCTCATAGTGCCTCTGGCCATAGCACACCGCTTCTGTTCTGGGTCTTGACCATAATCTTGCCCAGCTGTGACCGGGGAACCAACTGGCTTCTGATCTCCAGCCTCGGTGTTTATGTCCCGCACTTTGGGTTCTTGGAAAATGGGTTTGGGTTGCTCTGCATCATCCCATCGAGGCTGGAGAGAATCCAGAGATTTCCCAACTGATAGGAGAAGACTACTGGACAGGGTGGGAGGAAAGTGAACAATCTGACCTCCTCCGGCCTGAAAGCACACATTGCAAAGGTCAAGTTCTGGGCTGAGGTTCAGCTCTCTGGAGGCTCAAGCATCCTTAGTTAGGTAAGTGGCCAGGAGCAATGAGTAATGTGTAAATAAAATGGGCTGACGAAGGTCTCAACCAGGAATCCAGAGAGCTGGGAGCTAGGTGGCTGCCCTCCGGCTCCCATCTGTTTACAAGCTGAGGTTTGGATTGTCTCCATCAGGGAGGACCTCTCCAGGGGAGAAGACCCAAAGGATTTGGTAATTTTCTTTCCACCCCCGGTTGCTGAAGGAGACTTCCCATCCATGTCCATTTCCATCCTTCGCCTTCCCACTTGCTCACTGTGATGTCTCTAAGGGAAATCCCAGACCTAGGAAGAGCAGTGAACCAGGGAACTAAGAACTCCTTTTACTTCCCTCCTGCTCACCCTCACTCCTCTTTTCTCTTTGCAGGGCCAGCCTGGCACTCGAGGTTTCCCTGGATTTCCGGTGAGTAGTTAACTGTGTCCCCAGCCATCTCTGAGTCTGGTTGGATTAAAGTCCAACCCTGAAGCTACTCTCTCCCTTCCACCACAACTCGGGAGGACCCTTCCCCAGACTCTTCTGCAGATAGCATCCAGGAGCAATTGGCTCATGGTGTGACAGGCTAGGAAAAGAAATTTGCAAAACCAAGGGGGTAGCAGGCAGGGGTCCCTCGGCCTTTTAGAAAGTTATATGATGTGAAGCCACAGGCTGGTAAAGTCCAGCATAACATCAAAATATGGAGCAGGTAGCACTTGCCGCCTGACCTTGAGAGTGAGGCCCCAGTCATGGAGGAGGTGGTGGGTTGGCCCTCTGGCTGCCTTTTGACCCAGGTCTCAGGGACTCAAGACAGGGTAGAGGAGCCCCTTTTCTTGGGCCTTGGTGCTGGCCAGTCCCTGGTTCTCAGGAATGTGCTCTACACTCTGTACTCGGTCTTTGGTATCCATGGTGACTGCCACCCACTGCATCTCCCCTGTGCCAGCAGCCTGCAGGCAGAATTCCACTTACTATTCACAAGGACCCTTCTGGAAGTTTCCACCCTTCTCGTCCCATTACATGATGGGACGTTGAGACTCAGACATGCCTACAATCACAAGCAGTAAGTGAATGACAGTAGGGTCTTGAACCTCAACTCACTGGTCTCCAGATCACATGCTCTTAGCCCCTGGCCCAGGATGCCCCTTTGTAAGAGTCCTGTGAGGCTTGGTTCTTATCTCTGTCCTCTTTCTGGTTCCAGGGTCCTATTGGGTTAGACGGCAAACAGGTAAGTGGGCCCTCTCTCACGCTGGAGTTTCTACCCTCAGTGGGTGCAGGCCATGGACCCCAGATCTCTTCTTCCTTCCACAAGGCACTGACTCCTTTGGAGAAGCTGATGTAGAATGAAAGCATCTTGAGGAGGAGAGTCACCACTTATAGGAAAGAGTTGAGGGGTGTGGTTTGTTTGGGTGTTTTTTCCCCCACTTTCCCACGGGAACCTCTGGTGGCGTAGTGGTAAGAAACTGCACTGCAGTCTCAAAGGCATGTGGTTCGAATCCACCAACTGCTCCGCAGGAGAGGATGGGCAGTCTCCTCCCCTGTGTTTAACTGCCTCTGAAAACCTGTTGGAGGGCTAGCTGTAGTGATTCCAACTCTAGGGTACACCACAGCCTCCCAGCTGGGCTCCTAGTGTTCAAAGCAAGGGCTACAGAATCTGGTGATTCTAGGAGAAAGTCAAGGAAGGAGTAGAGGAAAAAAAATCCACCAGCTCGTTGAGCCTGGATGGATGCTCATCCCCACACGGTCAGCCCTTCCTCCCTCTTAGCACCACCAAGGCAGGACCTGTATCTGTCGCCCATTCTCATGAACATCTCCCTCCCATGTTGATATCCCTCACTCAAGTCTCCATGGAGATGACTTTTCCCTTCCTTAAAGGCTCTTATTTATCTTAGTTCTCCTGAATAAATCCCTCAGCACAGATGTTCATGCTCCCCACCCCTCCCTCCTCCTGTACCTTAAGAAAGACTGAGCCAGAGAGAGGAGCTTAGCCCTCCAAAGTCCTTGACACCCCACCCCATCCCCAGTGAAGAACTGAATGGAGACCATATAGCCGAGCCAATGGCCCAGCCCCATCCACTCACTTCTCCCCTGGACGATGCTAAACCACAGAACCCAGCCTCCCTTAAACTATCCGAGTGTGAAAAAACAAAACAAAACACAAAAAAACCACCCACAACTGTCCAAGTGAGGATGAGGTGTTGGGGCGTGTCACCTGCTAACAAGGCCAGTCAAGGGCAGTAGAGGGTGGCTTGGATGCAGCTGGAGGGGTGAGATGAGCAATGAGAGAGAGACCTTGTGAAAAAGGAAAGAAAGCAGCAAATAGGGCAGGAATCTCTGAAGGAGCTGTGAGCCCGTGGGCAGGGTAGAAGTGGCCTGGGCTTCTAGGGGCAAAAAAAGTGTCATTTACCTAACACTCCTGCTTTTCTCTTTCAGGGCCACCCAGGACCCAAAGGGGAGATGGTAAGACCCCAGCTTTCCTGCGTTCTGGTGAACAGATGGGGACAACCGCCCCCTTGAACCATAGCCTAACACTGAACCATAAGCACTGCCTAACGGAGACCCTACAGGGACAGCAGAGGTCGCACCCCCAGGGGTGTGCTCTGAAACCACCTGAGATCCTCCCATTTGCATGGACAGGGCCTTATCCATTAGAAAAATGGAAAAATAAGGCCCAGAGAGAGGCCATGACCTGGCTGGTGATACTCACTGATCCCAACCCAGTGCTGCTGGGGAGCAGTAACAGCCAGTGCTCACTCTGGGGGTGCACTTCCTTCAGCAGTTCCTCCTCTCAAGGCCTTGTTCTCACCAGCTGGACATTCTGGCGACACTGAGCTCCCTCTTCCACCCTTCAAACCTGGGAACTCCTAACCAAGCAGGACACACTGGACAGACAGGCATTTGCTCCGCCTTCACCCTTGCCCTTCTCACTTTCTGCTGAGTAGTTCCTTGCCTCACAAGCTCTAAATAACAGACCTGGGATTCCGTTCCTTTTGGAGCAGCTCTAGCACTCTACCCTGCAAAGGCTCTTGGTGTTGCAGGAAAGGAACCTTCTGCAGAGTCATCTTCCTGGCCTCGATCTGCGATCTGCTCCAATCTGCTCCGGGTGCATCAGCTCTCCCACCCACGCCCACTCCTCCTCACTTCTGTATCTCCTTGCACTTCCCTGTCTGTTCTGGGGTCAGAGGAAAGGGTGGGACATCCCTCCCTCAGGAGCCTGAGTCAATGAGATAGCTGCCCTGTCTGCCTCAGAGTCACCCATCACATTCTGACAGATCACAGAGCCATTAGACTCTTGTTTGGCTTGGCACGGGAACCCTGTTGCTATTAATTTCACACCGATGTTGAATATAATTGTCACGGCCTGTTTATCAGCTGTCCATCTCCCCAGATGGTTTCCCCTCTGTGAGGCATCTGATGTTGGGCTCTAAGGCTTACACCCTCAAGCTTCACCTGTGTCCTCATCCAAGGAATGGACCCACTCACCCGTGCCCTGTGCCCTGCTTCTAGAACCTGAGATTCAAATCCATGTGGTGGTGTTAAAAAAGATGATTTGTTGTTGCTGTGTGCTGTCGAGTTAGAACTGACTCATAGCTGGCCCTCCAGCAGGTTTTCAGAGGCAGTACAGGTCCTGCCCAGCTTTCTGCCAGGTATTACTTGCCTCTCAGCAGCACTAGTCCTTATCCACTAGGCTACCAGAGCTCTGTCAAATCAGGAGGTTGGGCAAGGTCAGGGATCCCAAAGTGGCTGCTATGGGAGGGGCGGAAGTGATGGAATGACAGACCCATTGCAGATTCATGCAGTGAGTCCTTTGTGTTAAAAAAAAAAAAAGGTAAAAATAAAGTCCTCTTCCTAAGGTTTTTCTAGGATGAAAACAGCTATCATCAGGAGGCAATTGATAAAGAAGGACCTGTCTTAAAGAGGCTACTCTACTCTTCAAGAGCTCATGGTTGCCTTGCATAGTTGGCTTCAAAATATTTCCGAGAAACTTGAGATCCAGATTTTTATTTGTACTCTCTTTGCTTAATGTTGACAATAAATTGAAATTTGAAAATATAAGAAACTGTGAGGCAAACAGGATGCCTCTGGGAGGCATGGTTATTCCCAAAAAGGACCGCTGGTCTCAGTCCTCCAGGTCTCTGCATCCCAAATCCTTTGTCCTGCTTTCTTCAAGCCCTTGACCCCTACTCACCCTTCACACTGGTCTCTCCATCCTGAGAGTGGTGGACTTGGCCCCTGCATCTTCTCACTGAGTCTCCTCCCATATTGTGCTAACTTGGCCCTAAACTCTCCATCAGCCAGATAGGTTACAGTGCCATAGATTGTCCCAAAGGCCATTTGTCCCCTCATGACAGACCACGAGAAGTTGGTCCAATTGCCAAGTCAGGGGCAAGAGAGAGTCTCTGCTCCTGCCCCTGGTTCCCAAAGACAGTTCATCCACATGGGATCTGTCCATGGAATCCTGAGCTCTTCCAACCCCAAAGAGGATGAGCCAACAGGTGGTGGCTGGAAGGGACCTCAGGACAACCAGCTTGTCCAACAGTGAGGGATAAAGCACATCTACAAGGCCTTGAAGATGGCTGGACCCTGATGGTCAGACAAACCCCAGTTCCCATCTCCATGTGGTCATTGCTGTGTGCAGAGTTCAGCCTCATCGTCTTTTGGGAGGTGGATCTGCCTCACAGAGCCTTCCTCACAGAACCACACAAGCACACACCTGATTGAGCTCCAAGTGATTACTCAGAACCACAGCTCTTTGCTCTTCCCTCCATACCAGTCACGAGGCTCCTTTGATCTCCCGGTGTCATTCTCAAAGTCAGGTTCCTGAGAGAGCTGACCACACCAGATCCTGTGTCCTAAGGAAACAAGAGCCTGCGTGAACCCCAGGATTCTTTCTTAGCCCTAAGAACTTAACAGTACAACCTGGAAAGAAACCCCAGACCAAACCAGGCCTTTGCCTTCTAGTCACTTCTGACCCATGGCGGACCCATGTGCAACCGAGTAGAATGCTTTATACAGTTCCCTCGACTTTAATCTTTCCCTAGACTTCTTTCTGCTGCATCCTTAAGGATGCTAAGCCTTCCAGCTAGCAGGTGAGCACAAATCATTTGCACCAGCCAGGGATCCTAGAAGGAAGCATCAAGGCCCTGTCTGTTCCTCTTGGGAACCTAGAACAAAGCTGAAGTTGTCAGTGTCCTGTTTCCTCTCTCTGCTGAACATTTCTCCCGAACACAAAATGTCTAAAGCTCCAGCCAAACACCCCATAATTCCAGAATCCCCTCAGCCTCAGTGGATTTCATTCTAAGGCCACTAAATGTAAAAGGTAGACTGTTCTAGCAATTCCATGAGACTTCCTCATTCTATTTCTTAGCTCTGAGTGGAGACAGGGTAACTCGTGACATCCAGGGGTGGCACTTATACATACCAGGCCTGAGATGTCTGTTGGGAGCTGCGCAGGGGGCAAGGCACCTACGGTCATTTCCACTGATCAGACAGGCCCCGAAGGCCTGAATCTCCCCAGAAGACCAGCTTCAGGAGTCCAGGCATTCTGGTTCTTGGAAGCCTCCAGTTCCATTCCAGCCCCCTCCCTGCCCAGGGTCGGTCCTGAATCTCTGATCCAGCCCATCTTCTGTCCACCACTGACTGTGTGTGTTTCCTTCCGCAGGGTCTGATGGGCCCCCGAGGACAACCGGTTGGTACTTCTTCTTACTATCCCCTGGGAGGCTCTGTGGTGGCTATATTCCTAGCTTTGCATTCTAACTCTCTCATTCCCATTTCTTCATAGGGGCCTCAAGGACCAAAAGGAGAAAAGGTAAGCCTGGGGATGTTTTCCCGGAATTTCTATTTGAGAAAGCAGCTTACTAACCAGTAGATAGAGGTTTGTAGTGAGGTTCTTAACAGAGCCTTTAGTTCTAGGAACTCCCCTTTGGGGTCCCAAATGTAGGAGGGGGTTTGAAGTCCTCTGGGGGTGCTCTGTGTAGGGTAGAAGGGAACTAAAGAGAACCTGGCCCTTGTTCTCAGCCTCTTTCTCTGTTCCCCCACAGTGGACACTTACCCACATGCATGGTCTGTTTTTGTTGTGGTATGCTGGAACACACAACAAAAATATGAGTCAGAAACAACCCACAGCTGACCCTCCAGTGGGTCTTCAGAGACAGTTAATCTCACAGGAGGAGACTGCCCACCCTTCTCCCAGAGAGCAGCTGGTGGATTCGAACCACGTGCCTTCAGGATTACAGCACAAGTTCTTACCACTAGGCCACCAGAGCTCCATAAGCTGTAGGATTTGTAAGCACAAGTCCTCATACTTTTACTGTCTCGTATATCTCTGAGAGAATCAGCTGCACTTGCCCCTGGGCAGATGGCACAGGCGGCTGACCACCCAGATCACAGGCATCTATCGCCCCACAGCCTACCCATCTGTCTGCTGCTCTCAGCCAGTGGTTCCTATTCAGTGTTACTGGGTGGGCCTCTGAGAGGATGGAACTTTCCAGAAAGACACTTCTAATAAGTCCTGGGACATTCTCTTAACTCTGCCATTCTTTATAAGAGGTGTATGTTGGAGTCCTGTCCCAGGCCCAGGGACCCAGCTCTAAGCAGGCCCTGGAGGCTTCTTGTTGGCAAGGAAGGTCGAGAACTCCTTCCTGCCCCAGAGTGCTTAGATCAAGAGCAGAGACAAGGCCTACAGGACTCTGCAGGTGACAATGTGTCCTAAGTCCTGAGGTTGCCCCTAGGGACAACCCTCTGCTATCAGTTACCTGACACCTTTCTTCTCTTCCCCAGGGTCATTGTGGAGAGTACCCCCACCGGGTAAGTGAACCCCTGAATCTGAGTGAGGCTCTTTGCTCCAGCACCCAACTCAGCTCCATCTCCCTAGGTCCCCAGCGCCTAACAGAGATTGCAGGAAGCACACTCAACAGCCAGTGCTGGCCAGAGAAGCGTCCATGGGGGGTGGGTTATGTGGCCGACACAGCTGGCCACCTCCCAGCCTCAGTTCATGTAGCCCTGGCCCTGGCCCGGGTGAGCCTTTGTACATCTGCCCTTGTATCCACGCAGGACTTCTGGCCAGTCTTGAGCTCGCTCGTGTCTCAGGGCTTGAGCCTGGCTGCCACCCTCCATGTGGCAGTGTGGCTTGGATGAGTCTGACCTCCTACCCACTGGCCATATGTTTGAGACTGTGTGTCTGTCTGGCTGCCTGCTTACCCTGCCAAACAGGAGGGGCTCAGGGGTTAGTCACTGCTTCAGATAGCCCAAACCTCCATAATGAAGGTAATTGGGACTGACTGCATGGAGTCAAAGGCAGTATAAGCCATTTCGAACAGAGGCAGCCCTTCTCCGGGTGGAGGAGAAGCTGCTACAGAGTAGAAGTGGAGCCCCCACCCCCACCCCCTCTACTTCCTCCCCCTCCCTTCTTTTTCCACTCCAACATCCAGATCACTGCCTTCAGATAGGGAGATACTCAAACTTTTGCACCAACAGTAGAATCATTCTTGGAGCAGGAGGGCAAAGATATGCATGCCCTCTCAGGCAGACGCCCCAGGATATAGGACCAGAAAATGCCCCTCGTTTTGCAACCTTGAGCCTGAGCATTCAGAGTAGGAAGGGTCGAGGCCAAGGCTGAGCTGGGCCAGGCCAAGCGAGGGGATCGCAGGCCGGCAATAGTGCAGACAGAGCCAGCCGTGAGCTCAGGGACGCAGGGGGCCAGTGTTCCGGCCAGTCTGATCCTGCTACAATAACAGAAGGTCAGCTGTGTTTATTTGGAACGATGGGCTCACTGGATTGTTATGCTACATGAAAGAATGACAGCATCCCCCCACAAAGACAACACAATGCAGACGCTTTGGCTGTGTCATCGGTCTTGAGTGAATGCTGAAGGAGCGGGACAATCTGCCGGTCAGCTCAACACAAGAAGCAGGGAAGCTCCCTGGGCAATCTGGGAGCAAGTCCAGTTGGGGTGTGCACGGTGATGGGTTGCTCGTTAATGGGCGGGACAAGAGCATCCTGTATCCCCTCTTTAGAAGAAGTAAAGAAGCTGGGTTTCTCTCAGGCAGATGGTTTGCAGCGTGGCTGTGGTGGGTGTCTCCAGGCCCATGAGGTACCAGGAATCCAGAGAGCAGCTCCTTCAGGTTGGGTGGGAATGGCAGGGAGTAGGAATGGGGCGGAGCTCCCTGGGTCTGAGACAGGAGAATTTTTACTCGGGCACTCACTCTCTCATGCCCTGTCTCTACCACCATCGTCCCCACCCCACACCAGGAACACCTAAGCAGCACCTTAGCAGCTCTGCGCTCCAACCAGATAATTACCCTGAAGGTTTGTAGGCTCTGGATGGACCCTGGGCCCCTCTCTGCTGAGAAGCCTCCTGGACACAAAGCCCAACATTGCACATCTCCAGCCCAGCAGTGGGGAGGGAGGATGGGAGCAGCCCCTGGGAAGCCCCCATGAGTGTCACACCCTGCCTTCAAGTGGCCAGGAAAGGCCATCATTGGTGCCTCTGGACACAGTGACGCTCAGGGGCCTGGCGTGAGTTAAAATGCTTCCAAAAGTCAGTGGTCCGTGACATGTGATCTGTTTTCACTCGGGTTCTAACTGCTTCCTAAAGACACGGTTTGCTCAGCTTCAAAGCACAGAGAGAAACAAAACAGCAAGAATTTCCAGAAATGAAAATCACATTAGACAATGTGATTGTGACTTGTCTCTCTCCTCCCCGTCCCCCAAATAAGTGGTTAAACATTTGGAGACATCTCTGCTCAGCCTCTATTTTCCAAACCCTCCAGCCTCAGGACAAAGGGGACTTGGTAACACTTAGCTTGTGCCCACACCAGCCACATCCATGCAGGCTCAGCCCCTGGAAGCTGGCATGGCCCCTGGCCAGCCTCACAAGATTTGCTGACACCAGTCCTTCTTATTCCACCAAAAAACAGAAGCCAGCCTAGCTACAAGTGTCAATTTAGCTGGCCCTGTGGTTCCCTAGCCAGAGCCTCCATGTCCACCCTCCTCAGCCCAGAAGCTTAGCTCCCCAACCTGGGAGGGTAGGGCTGGCAGTGCAATGTTGGGCCACGGGACAGGGGGACTCTTGGGTCCAGCATGGACAGGCTTGCTCCAGGAGGGCCACTCTTCAGTTAAGCAGGGCTGCTGGAGACAGCTGCGCTCCAGTCTGGAAGGTTTGGGCTAAAGGATCACTGCTCTGCGTGCCCTTTTCTTCCAGGGGCTAGCTGTGCCTAGAGCAAGCCAGCACCATGCCCAGCCCTGAGAGAGTGTCCCCCAAGCCTCCCCTCCTCAAGGTTCATGTTCGCTAACCTCTCTTCTCTCTTCCTCTCCTTCCACCCCTCTTGGCTACCTGCCTTCCTGGTGACTCTCGGCCTCCTTCTGACCACCTACCATCTTTGGCCTCTGCCTTCTGGCCTTCCAACTGATCTCCCTCTTCAGCTGCTGCCTCTCCTCAATTCAGTGCGGCTGGCCCCGCCCCCAGTCATAAAAAGGCGGACCTTCCAGGTAGACACCTTTGATTTGCTCAGGTGTGGTACGGCATCCCCCAGGGGTTAGACAAGCTGGGACTGTGTAGGCAAAGCCAGTTCTTCATTTGGCTTCTCAAAGACAAAACCAAACCCACTGTCATTGATGTCAGTCCCAAATTACAGAGATCCTCATCCGCTTTCTGAGGATATAACACTTAACCAGAGAAGACTACACATCTCTCTCCTGAGAAGATGCTGGTCAACATAAATAGAGGCAGAAATATATGTCTCGTGTAAATCAGTAACATGTAAGCCCAGTAACCATGGAAATCACAGAGTCCAACATCCAGAACTCAGGAGGACCACACCTTGAACATCAATGCTCATGATAACCGCCAATAGTCACTGCCAGGGACAGAACTGCACATCGCCCATGCTTGCTTTTTATTACTTAATTATCAACAGTTTTAGGAGTTAGGCAACCATCCTTATAAATAAAGATAAAAATAAATAATATAATAAATAAATTAATTAATTAAGGCTTAGAGGTTGAGTGAGTTGCCCAAGGTCACACAGCTAGTTTGACTCCAGGGCATGGTTTTATATTCAGCTTCTCTTTGACTAGCAATGTGATTTGGAGCCAATTTATCTAACCTCTCTGTGCCTCGATTTCTCATCTGTGAGGTAGATGATTTGGGGACCCACATGGGGTTGTCTAGGAAGAAGGATTGGCCATCCACTTCTGAAAAAACAGGGCTTCAAAAACCTTATGTACAAGGGAGCACACATAGACTATCGCTTGAACTAGCAGACATGGTAATTGAGACTGAGATCTTAGAAATGGAAATACAGAGAAGAAGGAACAGCTGTAAGACCTTCAATGAGATGAATCGATTCTGTGACTGGAGCGGTGGGAATAAGTGCGTTTGAGATGGCTAGGTTGGCACAGGATAGAACAGCGTTTGGAGCTCTTGCACATAGGGTCGCTATGAGTCACAAAAGACTTAATGGCACATAACAACAACAACAACAACATAGGATTGTCAGATACCGCAGGGGTTGTTGCTGTCATACTTAGGCTAGCGCCTAGCACAGGTTGAGTTCTATGTATAATGTTGACAGTCTTTATTGTGATGACACATGTTTTAGAGACAAAGCAGGTGAGGCTCAGAGAAGAGAGGAGGTTTTCCCAAGGTCACACAAATAGCAAGACACAGAATTGAACGCGGTGACCAGGGGTTCTGACTGCACCTCCAGGCCCTGTTGGTGGAACCCGCACTCTGCACTGAGATGTGCAGGACTAGCCTCTGGTTTGAAGAAATGTTGCATGTGATCTCTTGTAACCTGATTTTGAAGAAGATGAGAACTTGCACGGGAATGTAGTCTGCCATCAGCCAGTGTGTTATTAATGTGTCATCCTGAGCGAATACCGCTTCCTTCTTCCAACCAAGGAGTTTGGGAGATTGGATCATGGAGAAGAAGCTGTCTCACTCCAGGCCCAGGGTGTCTCAGATCCAAGGATCTAGATTTGATTCCAGGCCAGGCAGCCTATGGCTGCCAATTGCCCCTAACCATATGTGGCCCAGGGAGCACCCCGGGAACACAGGAGTCCAAATAGGGATGGAGAGGCTCCCTGATACCCTGACAGCAGGGCTAAGACCACCGTCCCCTTGACTCAAGAGGAGTCAGAAGCCCAGGGGGCTGAGCACTGGGTCATCTGAGTGAGCACAACTCGAGAACTACTCCAATAGACAGCTGAAGACACAGAGGGGCATGTGACACACGTGTTACCTGAGCCCAAAGGCTGCACGTTCTTCATATGAACCAGCTCCTCGAGAGCTTCCAGGTGCTCCGAGCAATTACTCACGCAGCCCCACCCCCACCCCACCGTCCAGCCCTGCCCAGAGGAGACCTGGGTCTAGAAGGGCCCCAGATACCTTCTCAGAGTGGCCATTCACCTGGACACCAACGGCGACCTTGTGGCTTTAGGTGTATCTGCAGCCTTTGCTGGGTTCTGGGCCATGTTAGAAGAATCCGATGTGATTCCCATAAGAATCCACCCAGAAGTGGGGGTGCCACCACCATAAAGCAAACCAACGCCACATCATGGAATCAGTTCCAGCTCAGGGTGATCCATGTGCTGCACAGAAGAACTGTGTTCCTTGGTCTTCATGGCCGTGACCCCTCAGAAGCAGATCATCCGTCCTTCCTGCTGAGCCACGTGTGGGGGGTTCACACCCCCAACCTTGCAGCTGGTAACTCATCATTTACAGTTTGGGCCACCCAGGGACTCCAGTCCCCACTTAAAAGATGAAGAAATAAGGCAGATCTGGAATCCACTCAGGCCACTGTGTTTCGCCTCCTCCCTTCCCAAAAGCAAGAGACAGGAAAGCAGGCCGATCTGTGATACCTGCATCTCCTATTGAAGCCAAAACAAGAGTAGAGACCCCGCTGGCGACTACAGAGTCTGGCTGGAAAAATACGGTTTTTGTGTTGTCAACCAACTTGGGCCATAAAAAACTTGTCCATTTCCTATCAATAAACCGATATTGATTTTCCAGGCTCCACAAGATGCTTAAAATTTCAGTCTAACATTAATTGGAAGAGGAAACATTCTATGGAATATGATGTACTTAGCAGATGGTTTTGGAGGTGATCTCAAAGTGCAGACAGCTGAGCCATGAGCATTTCTTAGGGAAGGTTTATCTGGGATGAATAGGAACCAAGTCTGACGTTCAGAGGTGGGCCCTAACTCCACCCGGAATTCTCTCCATTTGACTGAGATCAGAGAACTCAATTGCTCTGAACCTCAGTTTTCTCTAGAACTTAGGAAGACATTGTGAAGATTCTAGAGTTTCAAAGTCAGAAAAGCCCTTAGGGGTTTGTTTTAAGCCAAAGTTTTGCTGCCCAGTGAATTGTTAGTTGCTGTCAAGCCGTCCTGGCCTGTATACATTTGTCAGTTAAAACTGTCTCCAGGGTTTGTAACGCTGTGACACTTTGGAAGCAGATTTCCAGGCCTAACCTTTGAGGTACTTCTGAGTGGGTTCAAACTGCCAACCATCTGGCTAGTAATCAGCTGCTTAACTGAAACTCCTTGTGAATTATCTGTTCTAAAATTATAGGAAACGAGTGAAGAATACATTACACAGTACACCAGAACAGAGGATTCTTAAAATGCTGAGATCTTAATGGACTTACTCAGGCTTATTCTGATTGAAAAGAAAGCTGTGGGTTTCCCCTTAAAGCCTACCTTAATTCTCATTAAGATTCCCTAGTTCAGGAGTTACCCCATTAGAGCATACCTTAGACTTAGAAACAAGAGTTGGGCCTGGAGACAGGAAGTCCAACAAAGAAATTGATGCATCTGCCTCCATCAGGGCCTGTCTGAACCTTAATGTGACTTTTTTCAGAGGGTACGGCGGGCTGAGGCCAGACCCTTAAATGTTGTCGCTGGGTGCCATCTATGTAGACATTCCAGCCAAGAAATAGAGCAAGCAGACGTTGCTGAAATTTTAAGCTTATTTCAAGAAGGCATGGTCCTGTTTGCACCACCATGTCCCTTTACAGGTCTTCTATCTGCTCCCTTTTACACATGGGAAAGCGTGAGTAGGGCTCTCTCACCTACCAGGCCATTCTGGTTTGACCACACATATACAGAAACAGGCGCCTTTCCATCAGAGCTGAACCTTAGCCATCTCTAGGGTAGTCATTTAGAAAATTTCACAGCTGCAATTAAAAGAATGGCTTAAGTGGGTTTCTATCTACTTCGATCTACAAAGGCGTACCTGGGCAGTGAAGGTGGTCAGCGAGCTCGAATATTCACCAAAATGTTGGAGGCTCAAGTCTATCCAGATGTGCCTTGAAAGTTCTGTAATCTACTTCCAAATATCAGCCACTGAAAACCCTGTGGAGCGCTAGTCAACTCAGATGCTCTATGAATCTGGATCAACATAAACTGCTATAAAGATCTAGAAAGGCTTTGACTTGCCCGCAGCCCAAAAGGTTGCATGGACTAGGCTGTCTTCCCCTTCCTAAAAATCAGCAATGCTCCTATGTCGCTGAGCTGTCAGCCCATCCTGGCATTGGCCTGAGGATGAAGATAGAGCCCTAAGCAGAGGATTAAGAAGTCATTGGAGGGGGAAGAGTAAGTTAACAATCTCATAGAGGCATAAAGCACTTGCTAGTTCCAAAACACTTTCAACCACACCAGAGATTGCAAACTCAATTGCCTTCTGCGACCAGGCAGATCATAAAGGAACAGAGCAGAGATGAGTGGGGAGGATAGGGAGGGTGGGGACCAAGACAGCTAGAGAATCCATGCCCTGTCTGGTGTGGGCAGATACAACTCAGATCCAGCCAATTATACCCCCAGGAATGTGGGCTCGGAGGCCCCAGGGAGCACAACTCTTCATCGGAAGCCGCCAACACACATGTTTACATGAAATTTATTATCCAGTTGTTTAGTGAGACCGTGGAAATTTTGTGACCTATGGTCTGAGGATTTTATTTGATTATCTGACAAGATAATAACTGCAACAGGAAACCAGAAGCTATTGTTCCAGTGCTGTGGCTGAGGGGCCAGGGCTTAGAGAGACGGGGTGACTGCCACACAGAGGTGACAGAGGGAAGCCTAGACTCAGACGATCTGGGCTGGACTCTGACTCCTGACCAGGCTGTCTCCAGGCCTATAGCTGGTCATCTTACCCACCCTCTGCCTCTGCCAATCCCAGCAGGCTCTTGGCCCTGGTACCAGCCTCTCTGCAGAAAGTCTTGTCTGGAAGCCCTACCTCTTAGGGGCCAAATTAGCTTGACTCACTTCTCACTGCCACCAGCTCTGCATGTAGCCACCACCAGCAGCGGTCACCACCATCGCATCACATCCCATCCGCACAGTCACCAGACCCCACAGTTGGACCTTCACCGGGTGCATGGCACTGGGCGGGAACTGATCTATGGCCTTGGCGTCCTTCCTCTAACACTGTCTCTATGAACCCCAGGGTGAACAGGGCCAGGCTGGCATCCAAGGCCCACCAGGCCCCCCTGGCCCCCCTGGCCCGAGTGGACCTCTGGGGCACCCAGGCCTGCCAGGACCCATGGGACCACCTGTAAGTATCCCTTTTTTCTATCTTCTACCTACTGCCTCCCATCCTTAAAGATCCACCCCAACAATTCTCTAGAAGAATCTAAAACTTGGGTAACCAATAGGAAGCTTGGCCCTGGCCAAATAGCAAAGACACCTTAGCAAGGCTACTGGGCCTAGTGGACCATGTGAGGATCTGCCTGTCCCTGTCACATCCACCCGTTGTGACCTTGTCTTCACATCAGACCTTGCTTCTCAGGAGAACTCACTAACAAGCTTCCCTCGCCCAGTATCAGCAGAGAGGAACTCAGAAAGGAAGTTCCAGGGCCACTTTTGGTGGCTGTCCCTTGACCCCTGGGCTTAGAAAACCCAATTCAGATGCAATATGTTTTAAAGGAGGTCGGCAAGGGAGCATCTAAGCACCTGACTTTCCTAACAAACACATGTTATCCAGAGTGTAAAGGCTCTCACACCATGCCAGGCAAGCAGAGTGTCTGGTCAACCAGAGCTATCTATCTATCATCCTGCCTGGGGACCCCATCCAGGCACATTTTAAATTCAGTGGTCATTCAAATCACTATTTCCAAGTCCTGACCAAGACCCAACTCTTCCCCAGTCCTATCTTTTTCATTCAGTAAAACACCGGGGCAGGATTATAAGTCAGCAGATACCAAGACTTCTTTGGGGGAAAACAGGCCAACTACCCAGAGATGTGACTAACTTTACATTATTGGAGGGACAAGCATTCAAAGACAAAGTCTGATTGCTCTTCAATCGCATTTATCCCACAAGGCGAATAGCAAAAGCAAGCCTGTTTTTCTTTCTCATTACAAAAGTGTCATATATTATACAAGAGTATTATTGTGGAAAAAATTTGGAAAATACAAAATAATACTGTCTGCTTTTCCACATCCAGAGTTAACTGTGTAAGGTAGCATTTTGGGGGAGTCTGTCCATTTTTTCCTTAGATGTATCTGCACATAATAAACATGTTCCAGGTCGATGCTGCTCTGAATGGAATCCCTAGGTGGTGAAAATGGTTAAAGCTGAATGGTTAACACATTTAACTGCTACCATAAAGGTTGGTGGTTTGAAACCACCCTGAGGCACATCTGAGGAGGGGGAGGGAAATGTGCTCTACTTTACAAAACTCTGTTTTGATACATGTGGACTTGCCTTGAGGCAGAGTCAACGGGACAGCAATTGATTAAAGTTCGGAATACAATAGCAGCTCTGTATCTTTCGACATTTCTCCAGTAGGGTCACAGGCAAGCCCTTCTCTGTCAGGAAAGGATCTCTCCTGGGTCTCAGAGCTGGCCATCATGTTAGTAATGGATGTAGTGAGTCCGCCCCTGTGATATGAATCCTTGAACAATCAGTCTGTGAACATCTCTGGTGTTTCTTTCAGGAAGTTCCCAAAAATGGGCTGTTCAGTAGAGAAAGTCCAGGCCAAATAGCCCTCAATGGACATGGCCACATTCACTTAGCTTCACACGTGGGCCACCTCAGCTGCTACCCCTGATGCAAGGGGTCACTCTGAACGTGGACCCTCAGTTATGGATTGTGTGAAAACCTCACCCGATGAACGCCCTCTCTTCTGTCCAACTCGTTCCTACCGCAAATCTTAAACGCGCCCATGTTTCCTCCCCAGGCCCCCAGGCAGGGAGGGCAGGCTTGCTTCCAGGGTTTATAGACAGAATCCTGGAAAACCAGGAAGGAAGTGAGATTTAGGGAGAGGAACCAAACCACACTGAAAAAGCCAAAATGTGTTCAAAACCCTTCTCTTCGTTGGCTGCCCTCCCCAAATGGACCCCACTCACCAAACCAAATAAAGGTGCTTTATTTTGTTAAGTTGTTTGTAAAGAAAAGGACCCACCGTGCATCACGTATGTTGCATTTTAGGGTTTTTTTTTTAAGTGACTTGTTTTAAATGTAAAATTTTATTTTCATTGTGATTTTTAACGAATGTTTACAGAGAAGTTAGATTTTCATTTGTTCATTGTTGCACATTTACCCTTTCCTTCCCTTCCCCCTCCCCCAGTTCACTTTTTTTAAAAAAATTCACTCATTATGCAAAAAATTGACTTTTTAAAGGGCCATTTTAGGTTAACAGAAAATTTGTGAGCAAAGTACAGACATTTTCTATTTACACATCCCTCCACACACTGTTTACCCAGCTAACATTTTTAATTCTGTGGGGCATTTGTTACGACGATGACCCAGTATTAGCTGAAGGTCCTCATTCTCATTAACAGTCACTCTGTATTATGTGTTTATGTGTTTGGACAAATGTCTGACCTGTGCCCACATGGCCTTGCACTATGTAGCCCCCCTGCCCTGTGTGCACCCTGGGAGAACATGGGGTTTTTGTTGTTTTTTTTTTGTAAGGTGTTATTCTTTTTTTTTTCTATAATTATATTTTATTAATTTTCATAAATATTTACAGAGATTTTGGGCTTCCACTCATTCATTGTTGCACTATTCTCTCTACCCTCCTCCCAGGGTGTTCTTGTCCAAATGCCACAGTGCTTGTCAAAGCCAGTTCTGATTAATCTTCTTTGTCAGTGTATCCTTTGCCATTCCCTATCACTCCTCCCTGAGAGAGACTTCACCCTGAGTCATAAGGAAAAGGGGACGGCGTATTCTCTTAGCTACTTCCTGCTGAAAAGGGACGCTGTGGGTTTCAGGGTGAAGATCTTCTCTCACTACTCTAAAGGGCCCCTTTGGCAGTAGGAAACACATAGACTATTATGGAGATTGATTTTGGAATTCAGATGCACTCTTATTGATTGTGCTTGGCTGTACATGTACATATCCTTCAAGATGTATCATGGGGGTGTTGCAACCTAGAAGACACAAATTTGACTAACAAGTTATAAGTACATGAGTAACATGGGGGTTTTTAAACCCATTGCAACAGAACAGACTCAGCCACTGGTTTCCTCCAGCCCAGGCCCTGTCCAGCCCTCCACCCAGACCCAGCGGTGGCACCACCCTTGCCTCTCCCTCAAGGGCCCACAGGCAGCTGTCCCCACTCCCACCCCAGCCCACACAGCCTCCCCGCAGCTGGCCACTGCTGTCACCACACCCTGAGCAGAGGAACCCAAGCCAGAGGACACTGAGGTCTTTTCTGCCGGCGGTCAAGGCCAGAAGCAAAACCAAAGCTGTGCCAGAAAATGCTGGTTTTCTTGGGAGGGTCCCACGTAGGAGGTGGTGAATAGGGCTCTGAACCAAACCGCGCATCAGTTTACCAAGATGCTCTGAGCTACTTTCCAGTAGGTGAGCCCAGTGACATCCACAGCTTCTGTATGGCTCAAGAGGACAGCAAGCAGACTGTTGTCTGTGTGTGGGTCCTCTGTGGGCTTCAGACACCATTTCTAGAACCTTCTGGACCTTTGGTATGTCCATTTTCTCCTGGTAGCACTCTTATTAGCTCTCTCTCCAAGTCTTTTCTTTTTCTCAGCATGCACGATAAATATAACTGTTGTTAGCTGCTAGCAAATTGATTCCAACTCATGGTAACTTTATATAAACAGAATGGTGGTGGTGGTGATGGTGGTAGTGGTGGTGGAGGAGGAGGACATCATTCAGAACCAACCTATAGCTGACCCACCGAGTAGATTTTCAGAGGCAGTAAATTACATGGGAGAAGATTTCCCATCTTTTCCTCATGGAACAGCTGGTGGATCCAAACCACACACCTTTGCATTGGTAGTGCAATTTCTTACCGCTAAGCCACCAGAGCTCCTATAAACAGAATAGAACTGCTCAAAGGGTTTGCCAGGCTCTGACTATTCAAAAGCAGGTTGCCAGATGCCTCTGGATAGGTTCTAACCACCAACCTTCCAGCTAGTAGTCAGTTGAACCCACGGGACAATAAGCTGATGTCCCCTTGAGACACATGGTAGCTGTGACATCTTTGCTTGGCCTGGCCACAGGAAAATAAGTCAGCGACATCCTGGTAAATCACACCACCCAGAGACTCCATCTCATGGCTAATGTCAACCATTTACAAGCAGAAATGTCTCCCAGCATCTTGTTCTTGTTCCCACAGGGTTTACCTGGGCCTCCTGGACCAAAGGTAAGGGTCTTGGTTGGTGTCCCATTGATTAAAAGGAGAGCCTTCCCTGCAGGAGGGAGGGGGGAGGCAGCACTGAGAAACTGCAGAGTGAGGGAGTCTCAACCCAGACATGATGTGTCTAGTTTGACATGCATCCATAACATCACTTACAGCTTAGGAACTGATTTGGCTGTGCAAAGGCAGTCTTTATTGAGTGCTCTGGTTGAGCCAGACCTATAGCTGTATGAAAGGAGTAGACTAGTTGGAAATTAATGGCTGATGTGAAGGTCGCTGTCACAATGTCCTCATCAAAGAGTGTTTCCTAAAGTATCAAAACTGGAAGGTTCTCTCAGGCCATGCTGCTTGTTATGAAACTTTATCTGGAGCTGAAGATATCACACTGGCTCTCTGTTTGAAGCCAGGAATCCTGGGGCTCTGGGGGAAGAGAAGATGCAAAAGTCAGGTCCTGCCCTAGCATTTTCCAAATGTTTATAAATTTATACATTTCATAAATGTGGATGCAGAGCTCTGGGGAAAAGGGACTTGTCCAAGGTCAGACAGAGAGTCGGTAAAGGAAGCAATACTGAAACCTAGGTCTTCCGGGCCCCTACCAGGTTGACCTCCTTCCCTCTTCCTCTGAAAACTGGGGCTTGTTTTGAGAAGCTAAACAGTCTCTGTTGGCTTCAGGGAGTTGAAGAGCTATCACAGGGGGAAAGGCTGGAGGTGGATGGTGAAGGATAAGCAGATTCTGCAATCTTCAATGAGGATGAAGGGAAGAGTACAAGTAAAAGTTTAGCATTGGGGATACACTTCTAATGATCTTCTCTTTGTCTTCCCCCACCAGGGAGACCCTGGGATCCAAGGCTATCATGGCCGGAAGGTAAGAAGGAGGTGGGGTGGAGACTCAGCTGTCCCAATGGCTACTCATGAGAGGTCTCACAGGGTCAGGACTTAGGGGGCTTTCCACAACACTACTCAGTGTGACCCTCACATACTTGGCCCAACTGGGGTCAGTATGGTCACGTTGAGGATGAAGAGGCTCTGTGGGGTAAGGGCTTTGGGCAAGTCAGTTGTGTAGCTGGACCTCGGATGGAAAAGGATCCTCTCCTGTCAACCTGGGTGGCTGTGTCTGTTCTAACATATGACCACCATCCGGCATACACTGCGCATAAGTCTAACTGAGCATGGTCGGAATATGAAGGGGGCCCAGCCCAGATTCCTGCACAGCTAACACTGGGGAAGGTAGACTGTGCCACGCGCCATCAGGGTATATTGCTGTGACTACAGGGGACAGAGAGGTTCGTTCCCAGATGGAAGAAGTTCGAGACGTCTTCTGGAAGCTCAGCTCTGGTGAATGGCAGATGTGTTGGTTACCTACTGCTGTGTAACAAATGTACTAAATGTACTGGTTGAAGCAGTGACTCATTGCTCATGGCTCTGTGTGGTAGTCAGGATGGTTTTGTTGGGCTCACTCGTGCAGTTGCAACAGATGATGCAACTGAAAGGTTGGAAGGTCAAGATGGCCTTCATTCTCCTCCCCCAGGAGGCCTGACAGGCTTTCTTACAGCATAGCAGCCCCAGGCACATGCCCTTTCCACGTGCCCACTACGTCTATTTTTTTTTTCCTTGGTGTTGTTTTATTGGCTAAAACAAGTCATATAGTCAGGTCATGTGAACCAATGTAAAAAAGGAATAGCCAAGCACTATGACTATTTTTTAGACCTAAGTAGCCCTTCAGCCAGTCGATTTGAAAGTAGCACTTTAAATAGAGAAATAATTTTAACAAAGTCCAGAGCCAGTAATTGTAATAACTACCTGTACTAGTTGCTATCAGGAAATGAAAAGATGAGTTGCTTTAGGAAAGTCTGCTGTCAGGGACTCTCCAGAGTGCTAAAGAGCAATGATGCCAGTCTATAGAGACTAAAGTGTGCCTGATCTAGGATACGGTCTTCTCAATTGCTTGTTATGCATCTGAGAGCTGGACAATGGCTGAGGATGATGGAAGTAGAATTGATGCCTTTGAGATGTGGTGTGGGAGAAGAGTATCAAGCATATTATGGAACGCCAAGAGAACAAACAGATCTGCCCTTAAGAGGGTGGAACTAGGTTGCTCCTTGGAGGAAAGGATTTTGAAACTCTTTCTCACATACTTTGGACATGTTGCCAGAAGGGACCAGTCCTTGGAGAAGGATGGTATGCATGGAATGGTGGAGGGTCAGTGCAGGAGAGGAAGGCCCTGGGTAAGACTGATTGACACAATGACTGTGGCCATGGAGGCAAGTGTGTCAGAGACAGTGAGATTGGCTCAGGATGGGCAGGGTCCAGAGCTATTGTTCACAGGGTCACTATGAGTCACAGTCAACTCCACGGCACATCACAACAACAATTAGCTCCTGTCAAGTCCATTCTAACTCATGGTGACGGCACGTGCATCAGAGTCAAACTGTGACCTGGGAGGGTTTTCTTTTCCAATTATTTTATTATACTCTTTGAATGTTTACACAGCAAATTAGGCTCCCATTTAGCAATTTCTACACATATTGACCATGCCATCAACTTCAAAAATGCAAACAAAGCTGTCATGAAGGAAATGTAGCCAGGATGCTCCTTAAAGGCAAGGACGGTGACGCTTCATTTTACATACTGTGGGCATGTGGTCAGGAGGGGACATTCCTTGGAAAGAGATACCATGGTGGGGAAAGTGGGGAGTCAGTGCTGAGGGGAAGACCCTAAATGGTGGACTTAAGTATTTCAGAAATGATGAGGTTGTCCAGGATAGGACAAGGTTCCGTTATTCACAAGATCACTATGAGTTGTAGTTAGTCTACAATACCCAACAGCAACCAACACTGTACAAACTGTTTGATGGCATTGATTACATTTTCCATAGTGTGTTATCTTCTTATGAGCCACATTCTGGCTGTTCTGTTTCTAATACTCTAGCTTCCCTACCCCGTCTTAGCTTCTCATCTTTGGTGTAAATATTGATTGATCTCAAACAAACAGATGATTGTTTAAAGTCATAAAATACTCCTTGGATATTTTATGGTATTGTTTCTTTTATGGGATAATCTACTCTTTGACTGAAAGTTGACTTCCAGGAATGAGTTAAGTTCCAAATGAAAAGGTTGTCTCTGGTTGATAGTCTTGGGAGATCCTGTGATCTCTTCCAGGCCAGTAAGCCTCATCTTCTTTTAGGAATTCAAGGTTTGTTCTGCATTTCTCCCTATTTCACCTTGAACCATATATTGTGTTCCTGGTCAGAGCAGTCGTTAGCTAGATACTGTCTAGTTCTTCTGGTCATCCTCAAATTGATTCCAACTCATAGCGGTGCTATGGAAGTCCTACAGGGTTTCAGAGGCTGGGACTCATTTATGGAAGCAAACCACCTTGTCTTTCTCCTGCAGAGTGTCTGGTGGGTTTGAACCACTGACCTTTCAGTTAGCAGCCAAACGCTGTAACCACTGTATCATCAGGGCTCCTCCACAACAACCATTGTTGTTGTTATGTGCTTTTGGGCCACCTGCAACCCATAGCAACCCTATGTACAACAGCTCTGAACCCAGCCCTGCCCTGAGCCAGTCTCACTAATTCCGACATACCTACCTTCATTGCCCCAGTTACTGTATCAATCCATCTCATCCCTCTCCTGCTCTGTCCCTTCACCCTTCCAAGTGTGATGTCTTCTCCAAAGACCAGTTCCTCCTGGTCACATGCCCAAAGTATGTGAAGTGGAGCTTCAAAATCCTAGCCTCCAAGGAGAAACTTAGTTTCACCCTCTCCCAGAAAGACCTATTTGTTTTCTTGGTGGTTTATGGTATGTTCAAGACTCTTCTCCAGCACCACAACTCGAAGGCATTGATTCTTCTTCTGTCATCCTTAGTCATTGTCCAGCTCTCTGATGCATAGCAAGCAATTATGAAGACCGTGGCCTAGAAAAGGCACACTTTAGTCTCTAGACTGACATTGTTGCTTAACCATAGGAATGCCATAATAATTTCAGGAACAGCTACTGCTCATGAACATCCACATGCCGGGCATTGTTCTTCCATGTGAGCACATTATCTGTATTCTAAAACCACTGCATGGAGCCGGTACTAATATGCTCCTGTTAGCACATGAGACACTGAAGTTTACTTAGAATCTCATGGCTCATTATTGGGAGAGAAAGAGTTCAAGTCCAGGTCTGGGAAGCTCCCGAGTCAGAGTCTGAGTCCTTCCCAGGGTACCACCTGCTGTAAGGAGTCCAACCTTCCAAGCTAGGGGGAGATCCAGCTACCAGACATGGAAAACAGACCCGAGGAAGACATGACGGGGCGGAGTCTTGGAAGGAAGCAGCTGCCCAGAGATGTACATTCCTCGCACGCTGTAATCAGGCGGCTGCCTTCACCATGGTGTTTTATGGGAGCTTGGTGGGTAAGACGGCGAGACCCGAGACATCTTTAATTAGTTCTGCATAAACTGAGAAGTTTGTATTGTGTCAGGAAGTGGAAATTATAGCCCCTGGGCTGCCTCCATCCACTCACGCAGACTCACAAAATTTACTGCCTCCTGGCGCGGGGAAGCGTAGGTTTTCCCATTAGCAGCGGGTCCACTCTTTGAAGCTGTAAAGAGGCTGCCAGAGATTGTGAGGCTGCCCAGCGCTGGGCATCCGGATGAGGATGGGCATCTATTCCCTGCTGCACCCCAGAAGACTGGCTCACCCAGAAAGGAGCCTGTGAAGGAGTTATCCTGAGGATGGAGAGGCCTTGCTTTAGGGTTGTGGTGCTGTGATGGTTGGAGGGCTGCTCCCTGGGTGTGGGGATGAGGTTCAGATGGTAGGGAGAGTAATTCAACCCCTTCTGCACTGAGTCTGCCAAGAAAGCAGCATGGTCCTGCTGGCAGAGGGCAAGCTGGGGAGGTTTGTCCCAGGAAGAGAGGACTACAGCCTGGAAGGGGGAAAGGATACTTCTTTTGCCTGACTAACAGTGACTCAAGGGCTGATGGCACACCCCACAGAAAGAAAGATTTGCCCTCAATAAGAGGGAGCCTTGTAATAGTCACAGGTGTTTGTGAGAAGATTGTTCACATGGAAACTTCATAAACACTTATTTACTATGTGTAAAGAGGAGCCTCTGTATTAGATAAGAGACTGGATTAAATTCCTTCCAGGAACCTCGGGACAGAGCTGGGGCTGGTCTGTTGCACCTAGAAAGGAACAGCCCCCAGTTTGGAAGGAGTTGGTTTTTCTAGAAGGCTTGGCCTCTTTGGACTTTTCCACAAGCCTTTTCTACCCCCACCCAGGCTTGTCAGCCCCAATACCATTCTTACAAGTGTTCTGAGGCCCCGCGGATTCCTCCCCACCTATCTCCTCTGCCGGCCTCCTCCCTCTGCTCCTGCATGAGACCCTCTTCCTGTGGACTCTGGAGGGGCCATGAGGTTGCACCCTCTCCCTCATGGTTTCTCCCTCACTGTTTCTCCCTCACAGTTCATCTGGGTCTCTGGAAGGTTCCTGCTGCCATTCCCAAGCCTGAGTTCAGTGGTTTTGGTGAGATCTCTTGGAACCACCAGCCTTCCAAAGGCAGCTGGCCTCAGATGACCTCAGCACCAGTTCTCAATGGGAATCTCTACATTCCTGGGTCTTTAGTCATGGCATCAGGTCACCCCAGGCCTCCTGAACCAGCAGAGACCAGAGTGTGCACTGGGAACTAATGGCCTACAACAGAGGATTCCAGTCCAAGAACTTGGGCTCTTTCTCAGTGTTTGAAAGGCTGTTTCTCAATGTCCAACCAGCCATTAGGAGACTCCATAGCTTATTTAACTAAGCCATCCACACTGGGTCAGTGGACCTTAAAAGCCACCATGCCTAAAGGTGATGTTTCCTCACCCTCAGAATACTGA